TATTAATCCGTACAACTGCAGCAGCGGAGGACTATTATTCTGCTGCGTGATACTGCAGAAAAACTGATGATGGCACGGTTTGATCTTCGGCTGACCAATCAGCAGAAAGGGGCGTTTAATTCCCGCCCACATGTAGAAATCGAATATTCAAGCTGTTTATTAATTTTTCCACCCATGAACAAAAAACGTAAATTTAAGCTGAATTCTCGTTTTTGAAAAAATGAAAAAGGAGCCATTTTCTAATTTTTCTACTTTCAATATTAAATCAAAAAACGAATGATCGAATGATACACGGATTTGTATAGGCTACAAATATGGTTAATTCCATAACATAATTATGTTTACTGTAGGGAGATAATGATAAAAAATCGCCAGCCTGGCTAGATCATAATCCAGTTTATCAACTACCTAAACTACCTTGAATGATGATGAATAACCTGCTTCGACCAACATATACAATTATTTGATCCTTTTGAAATTTAGTGGCCAAAGATGACAGTTTGGGAGGCACCTATGAAGGCACAGAGCAGATGGGGTTGCTATGGAGCATGAGGCCCATACCGGGAAGTCGACCTGGACTCAGGTAACTTAGGCTGGCAAAATCATGTTTTTTTTTATTTTTTATGCTGTCTGTCTCACAAAGTTTAAATTCCCTTTTTTTGCCAAATTAATACTAAATGTGAGATGTACTGTAAGTCTTGGAAAAGTTATCCATTTCTTCAGCATTTTCCTCCACTAATCTTTGATTCCTGTCTCTTTTATTCAAGGCTGCGTAAGACGAATATACTCACACCAATGGTAATTCACATCTCAGTATATGGTGGGCATCTATCTCAAGGATTCAGCCAGCAAACACCCCTGGCAACCAGTACCATAGAGCGCTGGTATGTTGCGCCAGGCGTGCAGAGGGTGAACATCAGGGAGAATGGAGTACGAGGAACTTTATTTCTTCCTCCAGGTAAACACAACCACACAATGGTGTAATGCTATATTAAAATACAATTCATATGTATACAGTGACTTAAATAATCCTCATGATAAGATGACAAGGTTGACTCGTTTCTGAATTTTATTTTGTTTCGTTTTTTTAATGGCAGGATGACTGAACTGTTGATATCATAATGAAACGGCCTTAAAAAGGTCTTTTAAAATATTACTTGAAGTAGTTTGACATAATCTTTTATTGTTATTGCTTAGCATTTGAAATAACGTTTCAGCATTTGAAAAAGTTTTGTCTGCCAATTCAAGATTATGTTGTGGAACTAAACTTGTTGAAATGTAGAAACCCTCATAACATGCATGTCAAGGTCACTATATCTTTTAAAATATATGAGATAATTTAACAATTTTATGACAAGGCAATGTTAGTTCAGGTTGTAAAATGTCAAAATAGTTTGAGTTAATAATCCAAGATACTTACAAATGCCTTTATATTGAAAAATATGTTTAATTTGTTTTGTTTTTTTAAATAATGATTAATGTGTATACTCAGATGTATTCAAGGTGTATGAAAAAATATCTATTACATTTGATATCTGTTATACTAGTTGCTTGACACATGGCATTTTTCAATAGTTGGCATGAAATGATTTTTTAAATTTAAATATAATAACTTTATATTTATTTATATATAAATGTATTTATCTATATATACTTCTCTCTGGTGATGCATGCCAAACTTCTCCAGTCATTTAGTCTGCTTAAACCCTGCAATACAATATTGACTGCAAGCTATTTTTTGTTAATCCGTTTTACTTGATGTATGTCACAATACAAAAGAAAAGATCTTTAAATTTACATTAAAGCAGCTTTAAATGAAAACTTCTTGAAAAGTTTTCAAAACCACTTGGCACATTTGGCTGTGATTACTGCGGGTTAATATTGAGTATATACAGACAATTTTCTTGGAGACTTTTAGGTCCTGTAAATTGCTTGTAAATAGCTTGCCATGTGTTTTTTTTAGGTCCTGGGCCGTACCCAGGAGTGCTGGACCTATGGGGAGGAGGTGGTGGTTTGGTTGAGTATCGCTCTGCCCTGCTTGCATCTCATGGCTTTGCATCCATGGCACTTGAGTACCTCGCTCCAGAAGAGCTGAGAACAGCTGATGTTGATGTGTCATACTTTGAGGTAATGTAATTCAAAACTTTTGACAGTCTCCTAAAGTGTAGCAACTCTGACATGATATCCTTGATGATCTGCAACTGTTACCGACCTGTCATTACCCATGCATTTTCTTGCACTTTCTTGCACAGGCCTTTCTGTTTACTTCATATGTGTGCGTGTGCATATACATTGTTCCTGTAGAAAGCATACCAGATCCTGCAGAATCATCCAAAGGTACAGAGCAACAGTATGGCAATGCTTGGGCTGTCTTTTGGAAGTGCCGTCACACTCAGTATGGCAGCCTTCTCCAAAGTCATCAAGGTTTGCTTGACCTACACACATGTACAGTTATCTACATTTAAATGCAGCTTTTTAGTTTGTAATGTCATATTACTGTTTTGTAGCCCCAGTGCTGTGTGTGTATCAGTGGAAGTCATGTGTTTCCTGTTGATAAATCCCTCTTTGAAGTATTTGAGGAAATGAAAAAGTGAGTGAACATTAAACATTATTAACAGGTTTACAACCTGATTGAGCCTTATCTAAAGCTATAGTAATTCATATTGCTTGATAGTGCCAGAACCGTATTATAAAACATAAAACTTTTGGAGTTTAGAGAATGTTTAAAGAAAATGTGACCTTATTTGTCCTTTTTATTTGAAATAATCATATTAGTTTAGTTATCCAGAGCATTTGAGGGAAATTTACCCACACATTTAATTGCTAGATTATTTAAATGAGTAGTTTTATCTACCCAGATATAAAATAACAGTCAATCAATTATCCATATGAGACATTTACAGTAAAAGACTGATCCTAATGAGAAACCGTAACAAGTAATGTTTTTGCAGGTATATAGATAGGGTACGCGTGAATGAGGAGAACCAGGTAATACACAGAGACATTATCTTGCCAATTCCCTCAGACCCAGCTCTCAAAGTGGATGTGAGTACAATTTACAGAGTATATAGATTTGTTCATACATAGTCTTTTTCTTTGTCTGTTGTTGTTGTTTTTAATGTTAGATCCGTTTTTTTCACATACACAAAGGTTGGGAGAATAAAGTGTCCTCTTCTGTTGGTGAACGCTGGTGATGATCAGAACTGGGCTTCTGTTGAATCTGCTGAAGATGTGAGTCACATATATCTCAGTTTGGCTAAACTGAACATATTACGAAACATTTATGATTTCATAAGATACCTGGAAAGGACAGCCCTTGTAAGACAATAGACAATAAGACTAAATGAAAGGAATAGTTACCAAAAATGAAAATTCTGTTATCAATTCATGCACATCATTTCATTTTTTTTTTCTATGTTTTTTTCCTTTGTATCAGTGTTATTGATTACTAGATTTCAAAAAACGTACACTTAAATGTAAATTATAAATGTTGCCTTGACTAAAACTGAGCTGAAATAGTTGAAGCACTAAAACTAATAAAAATTATAAAAAAAAATAAAACTTACCGAAACGAACTAAAAATAAAACTGTAATAGGTATTCTGAAGAATGTTAGTAACAGCAACAAAGAGTTTTGGTTACCATTGACTTCCAGTGAATGGACAAACATAAAAGACTGAGACAATTCTCAAAATATCTCAAAATTTGACAGGTGTGGAACATCTTGATGGTGATTACAGGTGCATCTCAATAAATTAGAATGAAGGGGAAGAGTAAGCATGCATGAGCTACTGTTTCTTTTCCTTTTTGCATTTCTTTGTATAGGATCAAAGTATTTAGACCTTCTTAAATGTATGATTATATGCGCAATGTATCCCTTGAATATTCACTGAATGTGTTGTTGTTGCTGCAGTTGTCATGCTGTGGGGTGGACAGACGAAACCACACGCATACGCACAGGAGAACGCATGGGAGAAGATTTTAGCATTTCTGCGGCAGCACCTCTACTTCAGTTCAAACTTCGCAGTAAAAGCCAAACTGTAGTTCTGTCATCTACAACAATTCAACTTTCTTTCAAATAATGCTGATAATGATTGCCAGCACTTGTTACTTTTCACTTTGGTATCTGTAGAAAATAAAAGTGGACAGTAAGTATTCTTTTTTTAATACTTTTGTAGTATAAGTTACACATAAATGCGTTATTAAGGTTTGTAATGATGTATATACAGTAGGTTATGATGACAATAACTTAAGGCATTACAAGCACAGTTTAGGTTGCGTTGGGCAATATTTCTTGATACACTAAATACAATATTTGGGCAATATTTCTTGATATACTTCAGTTTGTACCCACAATCCATTTCTAAGAATGAGATTAATCCATTATCTAATTTAATTGTTTAAAATGTATTTTGATAAAACATTATTTTTTATTTTCTAAAGCGAATGTCATGATTATTATATAATTATGATAATATTTTGAACAGAATTGATGCAAAAGCCACCAGATTCCAGATTTAAAAATATTTGGGTATGTAGGAATGTAATAAGTTTGTCAAGTTCAATGTCATGTTTTTAAATTCACAGATCAGTTGTGGATGAATAAATATGCTATTATAAAAATCCTGTCTTTTTCATTTTTTTGTATATTGCTCAATGCTTAAGTAATTACAATCAGGCTTATGTTTGGTTTTTTTTCATTGCATTTTTAATGTCTAAAATGCAAAATTATTCTAAAATGTGCAGCCCCAAAATACTGTCTTGGTAGGCAGCTTACAAGGATTTGAGACTCCGCCAGAGTGTTTGGCGTGATACAGGGTTTGCAGCAGCACTACATGCGTAAATCAGCGTTGACTAATATCATGGGCGGGAGCTTCGCTTCTCCCACGCTCCACACACACAGTTATTCAGCTCTGGAAAACATTGCTGGAGGACGAGAGCAACAATGTGGATTCTCCAGATTACAGCTCTTACGATATGTAAGTTTTATTTATTAGTATTCTTCCATTCATAACGTCAATGTAAAAGACATTGGCTTTCATTTGATACAGTTTATGTATGAAGTTTGATGGTGACCCAGAAATATTGTTGTGTTTTTACACCGATCAATGTGTTGGGTTTTAGTTTCTGTAAGGTAGATTTCGAAAGAACTAGAGAATCAAAGTTGTTTAAGAGTTCATCTAGTCGTGATTCAAAACAGTTTTAGTTCTAGTTTGAAACTTTATTTTATTATTTCAACTTCTTAAATATAAGTATGGAAAGAAAGGTTAGAAGGCTATGTAGTATTTGTGAAATGTTAGGTGGTCCAAAGTCAGCATCCAATATAAATGCATTTCGTTTTGGTGTTACATAGTGTCAAGTTTGGTGTCTAGAGGTTTGTGTGCATCCCATCTGGTTTCCTGCAGCATGCCACATTCAGCTCTCCATCGGGTCATTAAACGTTCTCATGTGAAATTCATTTCAGTAATTAGAAACAGACTCCAAAGACTGTAACCAGAAGCCAAAATGATTAACCATGTATATAGTTCACCAATGTTTCAGTGATGTAATAGTATACACATTCAAATTAAATAAAAAGAATGTACGACTTACATAACTAAGGGGCTAGTTGTCACAAGAGTTGTATCACAGAAACTATAAGATTTTGAATCAAAATCACAGATCAGTGTTTGTTTATCGCGTGATGTTAGTGGCTGTATGTAAAATTACCCTGAGAAACATTCACTGGAGTAATAAGTATGACTGGCTCCAAACTTTTATTGTACTTTTTTAATGACATTTGGGATTCATGACACTTGTTATGCCACTCGTGTTCAAAAATAGTACACTCTTAAAAATAAAGGTGCTTCACGATGCCATAGAAGAACCTTTTTGTCTAAATGGTTCCATAAAGAACTTTTAACACCTGAAGAACCTTTCTGTTTCACAAAAGGTTCTTTGTGGTGAAAGAAGGCTCTTCAGATTACAAAAAGGTAAGAAAGAGATGGTTCTTTAAAGAACCTTTGGCTGAATGGTTCTTTGTGGAACCAAAAATGGTTCTTCTATGGCATCGCTTGAAGAACCTTTTGAAGCACCTTTATTTTTAAGAGTGTAGGATGCAATCTAATCGGTACAATCAATGCGATTCCCATAGCTATTGCTTTGCACACCCTGGCACAAGTACCCGATCACAATGACAAGTGTGCAGAGGGGAGCTGTTACCCTGCTACAGGTGATTTGCTGATAGGAAGAGCACATCGGCTTGCAGCCTCCTCCACCTGTGGACTGGATGGACCAGATAGATTCTGCATTGTCAGCCATTTGCAGGTAATGCATAGTTAGACACAGTCACGCACTATAAAAGACAGACATGCACTTAAGAATTACTATCAAATATCCGAAGATATGTTAAATTGGTTTAAACGCAAAATATTGTATGTATAATTATTTGTTATGCACTATATAATATAATGCAAGCAGTTTTTTTGCATACATTTTTTTCAGTTATTTTCTCTATCTCTTGTACATTACTTAAATACTAAATTTTATTTTAATGATTACAAATGATTGTATTGCAATAATGAGAATCTGCATTGAGAATAATGAGGAAAAACACAGAAGTAAAACACATTGCATTAATGACAATTCTGGGGTAAGCAGATTTGATTGTCATTAAATCAATGGCGCAATGCATAAATTAGGCTTACATATATATATTTTAAAATATTTTTCAGTAATTTTTTAAAATCTCTTATACATTACATATACAAGCTAAAAACATCTGATTTGGTCATAATATTTCTATGTTGCTGGGTGGGTTTCTTTCCACACTTATATTCATGATAAACAATCAGATCTCTGTGTGGAGAGTATGTGGTGGGAGGATGAAGGCCCCATGTCAGATGTTCCAGACCCCCTTAGGTCACTGTTTTGCTCATTGCATTATCTGTGTGGCCCATTTTTTTTTCCTGTGTATTCTGAGTTATATATTGTGAGCGATGAATTGAGCAATGGTGAGAAGCTCAGACTAAAGTCTGACTGTAAATGTCAATGTGTGATATGCGTGTGATCTGAACTGAATAGTCCAACGTCTGGATTCACAAATATAAGATGCTATCAAACCTTAATGACATTCCAAATCCTTGACTTTCTTTCTTTGTGGAGAAGATGTTTTTCAGAATGTCCTAGTGATTCTTTTCCTTGCAATAGTAATAAATGAAGTTGGAAGCTATTTAGAAACCCACCATAAAAGTACGCTAATTTGCGCAGATCTTGGTAGATTGCGTTGGTCATTATGGAAATGGTCTGGCTGCGTCTTTGTTCGTTAATGTGTGCATTGTCAGCGCAAAAACCGCAGAACTCTCCACTTCCATCAGCACTTCTACGGGATTGCGCTCTCGCACTAATTTGCCCTGTTTAGTAAATCTGGCCCAATATTGTGCGTTACATAGCAAATATAGTCATTTAGACTGCTTTTATAATGCATTTTTGTCCGTTTTTGAGCTTTGCAGCACCAGTTCCTGTTAACATTCATTGTATGAAAAACATAACCAACCATAACCAAGAAAATTTTGTAAATATATTTGACTTGGTTGCGTATGTAAATTTACTTGACCATGTCAGTTCGATTTAGTCTGTGTGAGTTTTTCTGTGTATACATGTGTTTATGTTAGTGAGTCATGTGTATGAGAGGGTGAGAAAAACAGGTGCACGTCCAGAACATCTGGATTCCTGCTGTCCGCATGAATGTGTTCTTCTTTTCGCTAAGCCCCAAAAGACTCTATATGTCTCACACGCTCCACAAACATCTGCATCTCAATCTCTGTCCAGGATGAAACAGACTGTTTTGAATGCGATTCCCGGCGCATGTACAATGAGTTCACCAACCCCAACAGCCACACCATTGAGAACGTGGTGACAACTTTCGCTCCCAACCGCCTCAAAACCTGGTGGCAGTCCGAGAACGGTAAGTTCTCACACAACAGTAAGAACAATCACAAATAATATCTCATTAATATCTCAGTTGTTTCTCCTAGACAGATCTCTTAGTAATCTAATAGGTATGTCTCCTGTAGAGTTTCAGAGGTAAACTCAACAAAGCACAGATTTACAAAGATAACAAAGTTGCAATCGAAAGTTGAATCTCTTATGTACTCAAATATTCAAAAATGTTCAAAGACTGAAATATCGGAGGTTTACTATGTACCTATTTGTAGCTTCTGACTGTATGCCAACAATTGTCGAATTTGTGTGTTTTATTAGTAATATTAGTAACCCCTGAGACAAAATTGATATTTAAAAGTATAGTTCACCCAAAAAATTTAATTTTGTCATTATTTACTCACCCTTATGTGTTTCCAAACCTGTTTGTCTTTCTTTACTCTGTGGAACATAAAAGAAGATATTCTGAGATATGTCTTTTTTCCATGTCGTGGAAGTCAGTGGTCACCAGAATTACTTTGTTACCAACATTTTATTTTGTATTTATTTATTTAGTCATTTAGCAGACGCTTTTGTCCAAAGCGACTTACAAATGAGGACAACAGAAGCAATCAATTGTAGTATTAAAACATCTACAAACAGATCCAAAACTAAAAGCGAAAACTTTATAAATACTACTTATACACATTTTGAAAATAAAGAAATTAAATAAAAATGACAAATGCATACAACAAAATGTCTAAATTTAACATTTAAATGAAAAACCAAAAATAAAGCTAAAAACTATTCAAAAAAATATTAAAGAACAAAAGGTATAAGAGTATAATAATGATTCTAATATAACACTAAGCCAAACACCAAAAAAACAACTACATATGTGCATGTACAACCACACACACACATACATATATATATATATATATACACACACATTTATAAATTCAATATATATTATTTCATTTCCAGTTTGTTGAAGTATTAAAATAACTCAAATGAAATAAAACTAAAACTGAATAAAAGACCTATACAGACATAATAATTTCAGACATAATTTAACTCAAATTAAAATAAATAACTAATACAAATCAAACGAGTGTAGTTTATCAGTAATCCTAAAAAATAACACTGCCAAACTTACATGCTAAAAAAAAAAAAGTACTTCCACATAGTAAGAAATGGTTATAGAAACTGAAACAGAAGTGAAACAAGTAATAGGAAAGAGGAGAAATAAAAAGCGATACTTATAATATATGCTGTATATATACCAACATTCTTCCAAAATATTACCAAAATGTATTTCAATGTGTTCCAAATATGAAAGAGGTTTGGAACGACATAGGGTGAATAAATGATGAGTTTTTATTTTGGGTGAATTTTTCTTTAAATGGAACATAAATGAGACTCGAATATGAATATTTTGAAATAATGAAATACACCGTCAAGTCTCACAAAAACACACAATTCTCTTATCATTGGTCCCAAAAGAATATACACTGGAAGAACATACAGTACTATGTATCATTGCAGAAACTTGGGCAGACAAAGAGAGAACGGCAGGGAGAAAAAGTCAAAGAAATATTTCGGCTGAGAAGAAGAGTTGACAGGAAGTAGTGGGAATGAGAAAGTAAGAGTTGGGATGAATGCAGCCGCTGGGCGTGGGAAACAGCTGGCCTGCTCTCTCCCTAGCGACTGGCTTCCACAACAGTCACGCTACCGGACTGAATGCAAGGGTGTGGCCCCGCATCACTAATTCAGGGAATTTATGACTTTGGATGCTTTATTTGGCATCGTGCTGCTCTTTTGTTGCACCCTTGTTCCCACTAAATATAAAGAAGAAAATGTGGACATTTTCTATAATGTTTCAATAATGTTTTTAATAAAAGGGATTTTAAGATGATGCTTCTTTTTCATTTTCAACTTCCTTTAGTGTGTAATGTTACTTTTTGTACAGTGATAGTTTGTTCATTTATGGACTGCATATACATGTTACATTTATCATTTTGCAGTGTTGGGAAAAGTCACTTTTAAAAGTAATGCATTACAATATTGCATTACTCCATACAAAAGTAACTAATTACGTTACTTAGTTACTTTTTATGGAAAGTAATGCGTTACGTTACTTTTGCGCTACTTTTTAAATCTGGACAGGGCTTGCTTGTTTGTTTTAAAAAAAAATTTTTTTATATTTTTGGCAAATATAAAAGCCTTTTCACACCAAAAGTGAAATGAATAAGCCTCAGGCTGAAGGGAAAGTACATTTACGTCCATACAGTAGAATGCAGAAGAAGACATTTCAACACACTTCAAGTAAAAAAAGACACACAAATGTTCGTCTAGAGTAATTTGTGCTTATTAGTGGTTAAACTGGATCATCGAAGGTCAGAAGCAAAGACATTGGTTAACAGAATGGGAATAAATACATAAAGCATATTTGCGTTGTTTAACATTTAATTATTGCAGGTTTGCGTCATATTCTGAGTTGCATTATTTTTATTCATTTTGAGGAATACTGAATCTATGTGTGTGTTTTTTTGTGTGAGTGAGATGAATGAATGCATATTCATATTTATTTCAGAACTACAGTAACATCTGATTTCTCTCGACATGGGGACAGGAGAGCTGTCAGTCAATAAATTATTTGAAAAAGTAACTCAGATATTCTCTTGTAAATTAAAAAGTAATGCGTTACTTTACTAGTTACTTGAAAAAAGTAATCTGATTACGTAACTTGTAATATATTACCCCCAACACTGATCATTAGTTAGTTATTCATATGCAATCAAACACAAAATTTCTCAGGGGACTGCAATACTTTTGGAAGAGAATGCACAAGTTTTATGAGTGAATGCAAAAGCTCTGTATCTATGCACGTAAAATCAGTTATAAAATGTACTTATTTGCTGTGGGTTTTCCATCAAGTCTAATATTGTTTAAGCAGCCCAATCCGTCTCTTTGCAAATTTCATTTAAATTGTGGTTCCGAAAACTATCCAACTATGTTGCCATCAACCACTATGTTGACTATGTTAAAGTTCAGCATTCCTGAGCATGAGCATGATTCATTGAGCATGTTTTCCATTTCCCTGTACTTACATTATCCTCTTCTGGGGTTTTGGAATACTGGTATCCATCCTACTTTGTACTTCCTTTGTATTACTTCACTATGACTGGATGTTGTATGTTAATATGGAATTGCCAGAAATCCACTGATTGCCGAACAAGTTGTTTTCGCAGCTCAGCTTAAAAAATGAGCTGCATCTGAAATTGCATAATCTAACTACTACATCTGATGATACAATAAACATCACGGCCGTTAACAAAGTACTAGACATGCTACTCATTTTATGTACTGTTTTTTGCCTACTATACTATATGTTAGGGAAGCAGGCATATTTGGACACGGCGATCTTTTTGACTTCTGAAACTTCCAGTATGTTTACATAAGATAGTGAAGTCTTTTGTTTCAAAAGATCAAGGACAATTCTTTTTCCATGAAATAACCCACCGACTTTGATATTTTGAACTAGGAAACTATCCGTACCAGATCCTTTGCAGTAAACGAATATTTATATTTTATATCTGTATTTATATATTATATAATAATAATATACTGTGCTTTTGTAAAATATATAAAATTAAGAGCATTTCAAAAATCGGATTGTAATATTAATTAAAAATATATGTAGTGTAACAACAAGTTATATCACACAAGTTGCAATATCAGCAAATTCAGTGCATCCTTCACCAATCAAATTAGATGACTGGAACTGTTGCATAAAATATCATTTCAACCTCTCTTCCTAACCTCATTGATTTATTTCTTCACTCATTTACCCGTTCCTCTATATTAGGAGTTGAAAATGTGACCATTCAGCTGGATTTGGAAGCCGAATTCCACTTCACACACCTCATCATGACCTTTAAGGTGAGAAAGACACTGTCACGCACACATAAACACACTGAACTAGAGCAGTCTTGAGGAATGTAGAACATATGTGCAGATATGTTTGAAGTTCTTCTCTTTAAGTCCAGAGCTGTGTTTCTGATTGCAAGTTGATCATAGAAGCCATTGGCGGCCTCTATGGCCTCCTTGCTAAGTTGCTACGATGCTTTTGAGAAACTTTTGCTGTTTTTAGTATCTGATCCTAAGTAAATTTAAACTTTTTACTTTTTTCCCACAGACCTTTCGGCCGGCAGCCATGCTGATCGAGCGTTCCGCAGATTATGGGCGAAGCTGGCAGGTGTACCGTTACTATGCTTTCCACTGTACTGAATCCTATCCGCACGTCCCTCAGGGGCCAATCAGAAAAGTGGATGATGTAATTTGTGACAGCCGCTATTCAGGCATTGAGCCTTCAACGGAAGGAGAGGTGTGTAGTACTCATGCATAAACAAATATACACATAAGTACTTATACATACTATGCAAAAAGTAGTATTTAAACTCCTGAGTCACTGTTCTTGTATACTTGTACACAGGTCATTTTTAGGGCACTTGATCCTGCATTTAAGATCCCTGACCCTTACAGCCCACGCATTCAGAGTAAGCAAAACATGGCAGCAACAAAACATGGCATGGATTTTCACACAATGAATTGTTTTTATTTTGACACCTCAGTCTTAACGTAAGAATGAACATAACCCCCATAGACGTTTGGTGCACCAAAGTATGAAAATAAATATACAAATAAAAATGACTTGCTTAAATACCAAAATAAATTAGATAAATTAAAATCACTCACTTTCCAGGAAAAATTCTTTAGCATTTAAAGCATATTAAAATGTTAAGCATTTTTAAAAAAACGAGTAAAAGCATAATATTTGATTTTTAATAAAAGGAACATTTAGGTAGAATCTGTTTTTTTATTATTATTATTATTATTATTATTATTATTATTATTGTAAACCATTCAAATGTAATGGTAAGAAATGGAATGATTAATACATGTATTTATTTATTCTATTAATTTTGTTAAATTGATTAAATAATGTGATTATATTTAGTATCCTGATCAAATCTTAGGGACATGAATTGGGAACATCATTTTCCGAGAATGACTAAACTACAGTAGTCAACATTTGAAGTGCATCAAAAAAGTTGATCAAAGTTGTCCTAAGACAAGAACGGGTATTGTCTTTGTGTTAGGACAACTTTGATGAAAGGTTTTGATGCACTTCAAATGTTGACTACTGTATAAATCAAGAGGGAAATTTAACCTGTACAATGACTACTTGTGTCAAAAAAGCTGAGAAGTGAATTTGAAAAAAAAAAAAAAACTATTTATTTTCTTTGAGTGTGTGTATATATTTTTGGTCTGACTACTGATATTTGTTTGTATGGGCGTTACCTGCATGTAGACTTGCTGAAGATTACAAACTTGCGCATACGGATGGAAAAGTTGCACACTCTAGGTGATGATCTGTTTGATGACCGAGAGGGGGTGAAAAAGAAATACTATTACACTCTCTATGATATGGTCGTCCGTGGCAACTGTTTCTGCTATGGCCACGCCTCCAAGTGTGCACCGGTCGGCAATGAGGCAGGGGTCGAGGGCATGGTGAGTAAACAAAACAACAACAATCACAATCCAGATTCACTCGCACTACTCACCTGTGTCTGTGTGTGCAGGTTCATGGTCATTGCATGTGCAATCACCACACTACTGGACTGAACTGTGAAGAGTGTGAGGACTTTTACCAAGATCTGCCCTGGAGACCAGCAGTGGGTCGAGAGACAAATGCATGCAAGAGTATGACAGCCCACAGTTTATTACAAAACATAACGACATTATTTCCCACTGACATTTATGCATTCTGAAATGAAATGAAATGCTTTAAATCTGCTTAGTTCACTCATCTTTTTTCTTTCTCTCAGGATGTGAGTGTAACCATCACTCGTATTCCTGTCATTTTGACATGGCGGTGTATCTGTCATCGGGAAATAGGAGTGGAGGAGTGTGTGATGACTGTCAGTACAACACAGAGGGCCAATGGTGTGAGAACTGCAAACCCTTTTACTACAGGCACCCTGGCAGAAACATCAGAGACCCCAGGATCTGCGAGCGTAAGTGTGTTTAACACTTACGTGTTAAAATGCAGAAGGGAAGCTCTAAAGCTTTTTATGATGCATTACTTGAAGGCATGTTACGGGTTAAAGGTTTAGTTCACTTGCAGAATAAAAAGTGCCTGATAATTTACTCACCCCGGTGCCATCCAAGATGTTCATGTCTTTCTTTCTTAATTCGAAAAGAAATTACGTTTTTTGAGGAAAACATTCCAGGATTTTTCTCCATATGGTGGACTTCGATGGTGGCCAACGGGTTGAAGGTCTAAATTGCAGTTTCAGTGCAGCCGAGGAATAAGGGAAGGGTCTTATCTAGCCAAACGATTGGTCATTTACTAAAAAATAAAAAATATCTTGCACTAGTTCGACCTCATGCATTACATAATAACGTTGGAAAGGTCACGTGTGACGCAGGCATAAGTGTTTACAAAGCGAACGTGCAAAAAAAGGTCAAACGCTCTTTACAAAAAAAAAAGTAAAACAATGATGTCTTACGATTTTTTCACCCTATACCCTAAATTTTTGAACCGAAGTACACAGACGAAGAACTAACCATCCGTGACCTTTCCAACGTGATTACGTAATGCGTGAAGTTGTGGACGCGCATCGCAGAGCTAGTGCAAGATGAGCATTTGTGGTTAAAAAGTATATACATTTGTATTTTTTTAGAAAATGACAGATCGTTTTGCTAAATAATATCCTTATTCTTCGGCTAGAGTCCTTTGAAGCTGCACTGAAACTGCAATTTGGACCTTCAACCTGTTGGCCACCATTGAAGTCCGCTATATAGAGAAAAATCCTGGAATGTTTTCCTCGAAAAAAACGTCATTTCTTTGCGACTGAAGAAAGAAAGACATGAACATCTTGGATGACAAGGGGGTGAGTAAATTATCAGGAATTTTTATTCTATCAGTGAACTACTCCTGTAAGAACAATTTAATTCAGAGTTAAATAATTAAAAGTACACCGGCTCTGCATATTAAACTGAGATCGAAGAAATGTAATTCCTTTTATTTTATAATTGTGTAATTTGTTTGTATTTAGCCTGTGATTGTGACCCACGTGGTTCTCTGAACGGAGGCTTATGTGACAGCGCTACAGATGTTCTGAGAAATATGATTGCCGGAAAAGTTGCACACTCTAGGTGATGATCTGTTTGATGACCGAGAGGGGGTGAAAAAGAAATACTATTACACTCTCTATGATATGGTCGTCCGTGGCAACTGTTTCTGCTATGGCCACGCCTCCAAGTGTGCACCGGTCGGCAATGAGGCAGGGGTCGAGGGCATGGTGAGTAAACAAAACAACAACAATCACAATCCAGATTCACTCGCACTACTCACCTGTGTCTGTGTGTGCAGGTTCATGGTCATTGCATGTGCAATCACCACACTACTGGACTGAACTGTGAAGAGTGTGAGGACTTTTACCAAGATCTGCCCTGGAGACCAGCAGTGGGTCGAGAGACAAATGCATGCAAGAGTATGACAGCCCACAGTTTATTACAAAACATAACGACATTATTTCCCACTGACATTTATGCATTCTGAAATGAAATGAAATGCTTTAAATCTGCTTAGTTCACTCATCTTTTTTCTTTCTCTCAGGATGTGAGTGTAACCATCACTCGTATTCCTGTCATTTTGACATGGCGGTGTATCTGTCATCGGGAAATAGGAGTGGAGGAGTGTGTGATGACTGTCAGTACAACACAGAGGGCCAATGGTGTGAGAACTGCAAACCCTTTTACTACAGGCACCCTGGCAGAAACATCAGAGACCCCAGGATCTGCGAGCGTAAGTGTGTTTAACACTTACGTGTTAAAATGCAGAAGGGAAGCTCTAAAGCTTTTTATGATGCATTACTTGAAGGCATGTTACGGGTTAAAGGTTTAGTTCACTTGCAGAATAAAAAGTGCCTGATAATTTACTCACCCCGGTGCCATCCAAGATGTTCATGTCTTTCTTTCTTAATTCGAAAAGAAATTACGTTTTTTGAGGAAAACATTCCAGGATTTTTCTCCATATGGTGGACTTCGATGGTGGCCAACGGGTTGAAGGTCTAAATTGCAGTTTCAGTGCAGCCGAGGAATAAGGGAAGGGTCTTATCTAGCCAAACGATTGGTCATTTACTAAAAAATAAAAAATATCTTGCACTAGTTCGACCTCATGCATTACATAATAACGTTGGAAAGGTCACGTGTGACGCAGGCATAAGTGTTTACAAAGCGAACGTGCAAAAAAAGGTCAAACGCTCTTTACAAAAAAAAAAGTAAAACAATGATGTCTTACGATTTTTTCACCCTATACCCTAAATTTTTGAACCGAAGTACACAGACGAAGAACTAACCATCCGTGACCTTTCCAACGTGATTACGTAATGCGTGAAGTTGTGGACGCGCATCGCAGAGCTAGTGCAAGATGAGCATTTGTGGTTAAAAAGTATATACATTTGTATTTTTTTAGAAAATGACAGATCGTTTTGCTAAATAATATCCTTATTCTTCGGCTAGAGTCCTTTGAAGCTGCACTGAAACTGCAATTTGGACCTTCAACCTGTTGGCCACCATTGAAGTCCGCTATATAGAGAAAAATCCTGGAATGTTTTCCTCGAAAAAAACGTCATTTCTTTGCGACTGAAGAAAGAAAGACATGAACATCTTGGATGACAAGGGGGTGAGTAAATTATCAGGAATTTTTATTCTATCAGTGAACTACTCCTGTAAGAACAATTTAATTCAGAGTTAAATAATTAAAAGTACACTGGCTCTGCATATTAAACTGAGATCGAAGAAATGTAATTCCTTTTATTTTATAATTGTGTAATTTGTTTGTATTTAGCCTGTGATTGTGACCCACGTGGTTCTCTGAACGGAGGCTTATGTGACAGCGCTACAGATGTTCTGAGAAATATGATTGCCGGACAGTGTCATTGCAAAGCTAATGTGGAGGGACAACGTTGTGACCACTGTAAAAAGGGACATTATGGCCTCAGTGACGACCCATTAGGCTGTCGGTGTGCGTAAACACACACATATTCACACACCAGCAGCTTTTTTCATGTTTTTCTCACGGCTTTGACCCCTGGCTTCCCCTAGGATCATGTTTGTTTTATTCTTTCTTTTGTGTGTGTTTTTGTAAACCCAGCATGCAGCTGTAATTCTCTAGGCACACTCCCAGCAGGAAGTCCCTGTGATATACAGACAGGAAGCTGTTACTGCAAACGTCTTGTGACTGGACGAAATTGTGACCAGTGCCTGGTAAAAGAGCGTTATTACAAGTTTATGTACAATCTGTGTATTTGTGCTTGTGCATAACACAGTTTTCCCTTTCAGCCGCAGCACTGGGGTCTCAATAATGATATGGATGGCTGCAGACCATGTGACTGTGACGTAGGTGGGGCTTTGAATAATAAGTAAGTACCCACATAACAATAATTGATTATCATAACCAGTCTTTGTCAATTAATTTCTAAGTGTTTTATTATAAATGATTTCATCTAGGCCTACATAAATATTCTTCCTTATATTGTTGTTCTCTCTGTAGTTGTTCTCGGGAGACAGGACAGTGTGCTTGTAAGAAGCATATGTTTGGTAGGCGATGTGACCAAGTGCATTCTGGGTACTACTTTGCGGCACTGGACCACTATATTTACGAAGCCGAGGATGCTTCCTTTGGAGCGGTAAGTGTAACATTCGCCTTCATTCATGTAATACAAGCAGAATTTTTTTTCAACATTTAAAAATAAAAAGAATTTAGCATTTTAAAACTGTGACACGAATGTATTGAATGCGACAACTAATGTAACAATGATTTTATGAAAAAACTGCACATGAGTTTACATAAGACGGCTTTTACAAACAATTTTGATCATTTAATTTGATAATTTATTAAGAATGGTTTTATGAACTAACTGAATGTGACAATTTAAGTAACCGTGAACAAACTACATGACAATTTACATAAAATTGCTGTTACGAATTAATTGAACGTGATCATTTAAATAATGTGAAGCGGCCCAGAGGCACTTACCCAGCAGCACCCTGCACTTCTACATACAACGATGAGCAGACCGTCTCACTGCACCCTGGATCCAGGTAAGGTTGCATTAGTGTGTGTGCAGAGTTTAGTTTACTGTGTATTTGACTCCTGAACGTGTGTTTGTTTGTTTCAGATATGCAGTTCTGCCTGGCCCAGTGTGTTTGGAGAAGGGTCAGAATTACACAGCGAAAATTAGCTTCCCACAGTACTCATCATACAGCTATCACTCTTCTCCTCACACACTTGTTGATTCAGTAAGTTTAATTAATGTATATATTGATTAAATTGATAGCAATTTTTGAATAAAAAATATTATATAATTTACAAATTATGTACAAAGTGGTCAGTTTTAGCTATACTTTATGAATTAAAAAAATACATTTGTATGTAATGGTGATGGCTTTCCATTTGCCTTTAGTGGTTTTAATGATATTGTTAACCTCTGTCTAAAGACAACTTTTTGCATTTTTAAATTTTTATTAAAATTTTTGTTATGGCTCATCGGGACCATTTATATTCCAATAAAAAAAATATATATGTTAACACTTTATTTCGATAGTCCACTTTAGACATTTTATTAACAGTAAGTAACTTTGCAACTACATGTCAACTAGCAGTTAGTAGAGTATTAGTAGACTGTCTGCTTAATATCTTCTAACACTTTCTTTGTCAACTTATTCTACTAACCCTAAACCTACCCTAACAGTCTACTTGAGAGTTAGTAGACATGTAGTTGCAAATTAATGAGAATTAGTTGACATGTAGTTGACATGTAGTTACAAAGTTACTTATAGTTAGTAGAATGTCTAAAGTGGACTATCGAAATAAAGTGTAACCAAATATATATATATATATATATATATATAAAATACCAACTGGTATTTTTAGATGTGAAATAAGACATTATCGTACCTTTATGAAGCTGTTTGAATGCAAATTGTACACTGTTTTGAGAACTTTACCATGCTGAAAGAAATGTGTATTTATTTTACTTTAAATTTGGTGGATTTGATTTGAAACAATTTCACACAGAACTTACTAGTAAATTTTAAAAATAATTACAAAGAAACAGCAAATAACACTTTAAATTAAACATGAAATTTGGAAGTAGAAAGACTGAAATAGTATTTTCTTGCTAAACATACTCAAATAACCTTTGTTTTATTTACAATTTTTGAAAAAATCTACATTGCATGAATATAACATAAACCATCTCACATCTGCAATTACACACATATACCCACTAATGCAAATCCATTTTTCCTCTAGCTCTACATTTACGACACAGTGGTTTATTACAATATCATTCATACTGACTTAAACCTTGACCTCTGACTTCTGTAGATAGTGCTTTTGCCAGAGGTGCAAGACCTGGATCTATTTTCTGGCGGACCCCAGCAGCGGGAGGACTGGGACATGTTCCAGAAGTACAGATGTATGGAACGCAGCCAGAGTGTTATTAAAATCCCCCTAATGGATATTTGCAGAGATTACATCTTCAGTGTGTCAGCACTACTACACAATGGAGCTCTGGGTGAGAAAGACAGAAGTATAACAAATGCAGCTGGATGTATTTAATACTACAGATTTTCAAATGAAGTACCCGTTTATGCTTTTTTGAGTTTACATTTCCCACAATCTTTTGCTGCGGTTTTTGGGAAACCTACTTTAAAGCAATCATTATTTTGCTATTTAGTTTGGTGATGCTAGTGGTGCAAAAATTGCATACTTCAGCTTTAAAAGTACATTATTTTTAAACTTGCTGCCCTATTTTCAGAGTTTTGCTGAATTGTCTCTCATTTATTTATCATTGGCAGAGTGTAAGTGTGACCCCCAAGGTTCTCTGAGCACAGTGTGTGACAATATCGGTGGGCAGTGTCAGTGTCGACCCAACGTTTTAGGAAGGAACTGCGACACCTGTACCCCGGCCACCTACCTGTTTGGACCCTCGGGATGTAGACGTAAGTGAAAACTACACATATGCACACATACACAAACAACCAACATAACCATTAGCATAGAATAACATCAACTATGTTTTTTTCTGATCACTTCTTCATTAGCATGTGACTGTAACCCACTGGGCTCTCAGAACCTATTCTGCCACCCCACCACGGGCCAGTGTTTATGCGTGTCAGGGGCATATGGGCAGCAATGTGGCAACTGTAAGCCCAACCATTGGGGCTTCCCTCAATGCCAGCCCTGCTTCTGTAATGGGAACAGTGAACAGTGCCACCCAGTTACGGGAGAGTGTCTGAACTGCAGGGGTCACACCACAGGCCACAACTGTGAGAGGTAAGAGGATAAAATATTGTTTAATAGGTCTGATACTGTATATATGATTTAGTATAATGCTATTTTGAAGCTATTTTTCACACTACATTTAAGGGATAGTTCACCTAAAAATGAAAATTACCCCATGATTTACTTACCCTCAAGCCATCCTAGTTGTATACAAATTTCTTCTTTCAGGTGAATACAGTCGGAGTATCCTGGCTTTATAATGGCAATAAATGGGTGTTGAGATTTTCAAGCCCAAAAAAGTGCCCCGTTCACACCAAGAACGATAACTATAAAGATAACGATATTAGCGTCCACACCAGCAGACGATATCGTTTATTCTGTATATACTGTTTATTCTAAGCGCACTCTTATCTGCCGCTTTAAATTCTCCAGCTCGTTACAGCAGGATGGATTCTGATTGGCTGCCAATATTTTTATCATTCATCAGCTGGAAAAAATCGTTCTGAAAGTGATTACAACGATATCGTTTCTCTGTGCCATTATCGTTATTGTTGTGGTGTGGACTCTGCTATTCTTTAATATCTTTATCGTTATCTTTATAGTTATCGTTCTTGGTGTGAACGGGGCTTTACGCTATGACTACATCCTATGTCATCCGCTGGAATGCCACTCTTTCGTGAATGCACGTAAGACAGTCAGTGGAAGCTAGAGATTACTAGAGTGGAAGCTAGAGGAAGATATAGGTTTAAATATGGATAATTTTCTTACACAAACACATCACTTCACTTCAGAAG